AAATTTTCTTTAAATTTAAAACATTATCTCTAATAAAAACAACAAAAATGTTTTATTAAAATAAAGCAAAACTTTAATAATTTGGACTAAAATTTAAAAATTAAAGTTTTGTTTGTCTTTGCAATCATGTATTGAGTGCTGATTTGGAAAACTTTGGTCTAAAACTAACGCTAATTATTAAGATAATTTTAAATAAACAATTTTGTGACCAATTCATAGCTATTATAACATAAAATTATCTTAAATTATAGATTAAATTCAAAGATAAAATCACAGATAACTATAGAACCGATGGTTTAAATAATGCAAATTATACTTCAGTCCAAATACAACAAGTGTTGCGATTAATGCTTGACTTAACTCTTATTTACACAAAAATAAGGAAATTATATGAAAATCAGTACTAATTTCTATCAATATAGTATTGAAAACCTTTCATTTTTATATAACTTTCCATCATTTTTTGGGGTCGATATGTACCACAAATTCTACATAAATAACAAATAATACAATAATTGTTTAACATTTTGTATTTGTATTTTAACCCATTATTAACGACTAGTAATATAATAATAATATTATATATAAATATTAACAGAAAATAGTCTATAAACAGAAAAATCCGGAAAATAAAAGATCACAGAAAATGAAAAATAATAATATATAAGATAATAATGAAAACATAAGTCAACGACAAAGGAATCTACAGTCGAGTGGAATATATAGTAGAAAATGAATTCCCTATGAAGTGAAGTAAAGCATAAAAAGTGACACAAATTTTTTTATACACAACTTAACAATTAATAAAATAAAACCTATTTCACAAAAGACTGCTTCTCTTAACAGTTGTTACATAAGGTATAGTTTGAAAGTTGGAGTTCATATAACATAAGGGTATGGATATAATTGTCTATAATTAGTCGCAAACACTTAAATACAGTTATAGACATTGGTTTCGAGGAAATGCGAGGTTTGACTTTTAATGATGTTTATTATTCATTGAATATTATCGCATATGCAATGAGTTTGCAATTAATTATAAATAATTGCTAATAAATTCATAACTTGTTGACTATGGGTTAGTCTTAATGTTAGGCTTGCATTCAATTGAACTCTTTCTATAATTCTAAACACAAATTCTCGTTAATTTAATGTGTTTTTAATCCAAACAAAGAATCACAACATTTTATCCATAAAATGAATTGTATTTCAAATTACTATATGTTATGCTTCGAGAGTTTAGAAATAATTAAAACATTAGATTCTAAACTCATTGAGCCGTTCAATACATCTATAATTGAATGAACAAAACTATTGCAACACTTGTAATATTAATCGATAAATGAGTGAACAATACGTTATTTATTTGGACAATGAGTTGAGTCCTTGGATCTCTTCAAAGCCACTGTCAAGTATGCATTGAGGGGGCGTCTCATCGGAGGGGTAAGACATGCCAGTGATGTTACATTTCTCGTATCGATTCGTTTGAAAACCCTTTTTGATCGATTGTGGCATTGAATGGCAATCAACAAAATTGGTTCCGCTGTCAAACACTTCATCTAAATTACTATTAGATAAAAAATGATTCTCATCGTTAGGTGAGCCAGAAATGGGACCGTTTTGGGAGTTAGCCATTGGAGTGGCTCTCCTATCAGCAGCCAATGATGTCGTGGTAGTGGTAGTCGTGGTTGAGATCGATTTTGAACGATTCACTTTTGAGTGACTTTTTCTATTGGAATAACTGTTGTTTATACCACTTATACAACGGTTCGTTTTGATTGGCGTCTCATCCATATTAATGGCCGGAGATTTAAATCTGGTATGATTTGCATCCAAATGGGAACAATTGCTGAGACCAGAGACCGATTCGTTAAAACTCTCGCTTAAATGGAAGGCCAGCTCTTCGTTCTTCATGGAAAGCCGTCTCTTTTCGCGCATCTCTTTCTCGTAGAGGCACTGAAGGTCGTGGTGTTCGCGCGTCAGTTGATTGAATTGATGTATCTTTCGGTCCAGAGTTATCTGCAATGTCTCGATCTGTTGCTGAAGGCTTCGGATGCTCTCCTTAGCGAACGGCAATTCGTTAATCTTCTCTTGAGTTTCAATCATTTTTCTTTCCAATGTATGAATTTTTTCATTTTTCATTTCCATAACCACTTTAAGCGACTCGACCTCTAGTTCTAATTGTTTGCTCTTTTCGGACAAATACTTAAACTTCTTGCTCTTATCGTTCATTATATTGGCCTCCATTTGGTTCAATCGGTTCGTGAGCTCTTCTTTCGTTTGCTTCGTTTCATTCAATTCCGTTGTCTTCTCTTCAATTTCATTCACCAATTCATTGCAATTTTGCTGACTTTTCATCAATTCGTTGCTGTGTTTCTCTTCAAGTTTTTTAATGTCCAAAAAATGCATTTCTTTCAGTTTCTTAATATTCAATTCGTGGGTCACTTTCGCTTCATTCAAATCGGAAAAGTTTTTCTCTCTTTCTTTCATCAAATGATTAATTTGTTCCTCAAATATAATCTTCATGTCATTTAGCTCTACATCTTTTGCATCTAATTAATCAATAAATAATGCATTTATAGCACAAAAAGATGCAAATAAATTGAATCAATTAAGACATACCGATATTATCCCTTAATTGCTCGCATCGGGTGTTTGCAGTCTTTAACGCTCTCTTAATTCTTGGTGTTTCAAAGGGTTCGTACTAAATATAAATTCAGTTTTCCATTAATATTCACACAAATTGCTATTAAATGAAGTAATAGTTAGTGTAAAGACCGCAGACCTGTTCAATGAGGTGTTGAATAACAACGGAGAGCGAGTCAAATGCGATTCTCGTGTAGTTGTGGGATATGCCTAAAGTTTTCAATTGTTTAGTCTTCGAATCGCATAATTGTGTTAATGTCTGGATTTGGTTTCTATCGTCGAGTGCATGTGTGGACCGAACATCCCTTTTAGAAGTGCTAGCATTTGATGCATTGATTTTTGTGTTTGTCATTCGTTTGGCCGTTACTGTAGAGCCGGTAGTGTTTGGTTGAGTTGGCCTTCGATTTGCTGCCGATTTTTTGTCGTTAAGCGAAGTGACGGCGCCTGACATTCAAATAAATCAATTTATTAGTTATGAATGCTATGGAATGCATAACAAATTATATGATTAAAAATATACATCTATTATATAATAAATGTAAATGTGGTTAAATTCCTTCCATATGTTATTCAATTTTTATTAGCATTAGTTTATGAGTAAATAAAAAGTAAAACTAGTAATAAATTAATGCAAAAAGTTATAAGAAGTGATTTTGAATTTGTATTAATATTCAATAGAAGCCATCAAATAGTTGTAAGAAATGTCTTAATAACCTTGTGGTCGATATATAGTGTGAGGACAGGTATGTATAGGCGGTTATTCAACTTTTTTTAATATTAAAAAATTAATATGAGGTTTAAACCAACACAACAAAAAAAGTGGGACAAAGCTTTCCAATAGTAATCACACGTAAATAACTTTTAGAAATCAATAATTATTTAAAGGACAGAACAAGTGTTTGAAGAGTAGTTGGCGTTAATTGAGCACAAGTAGGGATGAGAGGTCTTTATTTTCATTATAAGTTCGTACGTATTGTACCCAAAGTGCCGTAATGTCGGGGCTTTGCGATCCGATGGCGCCCACGGCTAGAGTTACCGTTTTGAACGCAATTGTCTGCAAAATGAACTTTCTTTTGACTTTTACTGTTTTGTTCCGTTGTTTTTGTCAACCCATCGGTCGTGTTGTAGTCCGGACTATCAGACTCTCTACTCCTAACCCTTAATATTCCCTGAATTGGCGCTGATTTTACAAAAATATCTTTTATGCTTTCATTACTACTGCTATCCTTTATCATAGGCTCGTCGTCAACAAATGTGAGGACAATTGCGCCGTCAGTATTGCTTTTATTGGCCGCAATTGTAGAGGAAGGGAATGACACCACTTCCGACTCCGGGAGGACCTCTTTCTTAACTTTTACTTTAATTATAACTTCAGTGGAAGCACTCGGAGGAGAGACTGAGGTGTTTATTGAAGATTCGTTTGACTCATTTGGTGTGAAACTCAATTTTGATAAAAACTGTTTGCTATCATTTGATTCACTCAATGGAAAGTGATTTTCATTTTGTTTTTCATAGTTTTCATCGACTTGAGGAACACTTGGTTGCGGTTTTGTTTCAGTAGATTCATTAGAAACATGGGTAATGGGCTCAGCATTTGTATGGGCACTGGACTCTAAAACCAATACTGTTTTGTTCCGTTGTTTTTGTCAACCCATCGGTCGTGTTGTAGTCCGGACTATCAGACTCTCTACTCCTAACCCTTAATATTCCCTGAATTGGCGCTGATTTTACAAAAATATCTTTTATGCTCTCATTACTACTGCTATCCTTTATCATAGGCTCGTCGTCAACAAATGTGAGGACAATCGCGCCGTCAGTATTGCTTTTATTGGCCGCAATTGTAGAGGAAGGGAATGACACCAATTCCGACTCCGGGAGGACCTCTTTCTTAACTTTTACTTTAATTATAACATCAGTGGAAGCACTCGGCGGAGAGACTGAGGTGTTTATTGAAGATTCGTTTGACTCATTTGGTGTGAAATTCAATTTTGATAAAAACTGTTTGCTATCATTTGATTCACTCAATGGAAAGTGGTTTTCATTTTGTTTTTCATAGTTTTCATCGACTTGAGGAACACTTGGTTGCGGTTTTGTTTCAGTAGATTCATTAGAAACATGGGTAATGGGCTCAGCATTTGTATGGGCACTGGACTCTAAAACCACATTCATATGATTGACACATATTTTATTTGTTTGCATAACTTTTTTGGTAACAAAATTTGCTTCAGTTTTATCTAATTTGAGGATTTGCTGACTTTTAATAAAGTTGTTTTTTGGGTCAATAATGGCTTTTGAGTGCTTTAATGCATTTGAATCAAAAGACTTGACAACACTTTGAACTTTATTATCGATTTCATCGCAAATATTGCTATTTTTTTCTTTCAGAGATGAGTTATAATTAGTTTGCTTTTTGACTGTTTGTTCATCTGTTTGTACGGATATTATCGGATTATTTAGCATTTGATTGCAATCACTTTGTACTCCATCTGTTGTATCGTTATATTGAGAGATCGTTTCATTCGTTTCGCTTTCGGTAACCACTTCTTCAACTTCTGCCAAATTATCAGAATTAGGGCTTAGTTTTGGCATAAAGTGGTCCTTGTTTTCAATTTGTGGACTATTTGGTGGACTTTGACTCGTTATGAATAATTGCAATTCATTTGCATTGCGAGACATTGAAAGCTGTGGCGAATGAGAAATGCTTATGAATTGGTTTAAATGGTTTGGAATGCGGTCTCGAGTTATTATATATCCAGAACTGATCGGCAATTTTGGGGAGCCATTCAACTGCTGCCACGACCGGCGCATTGAGCCCTTGGCTAACAAACTATTGGCTCGTCTTCGGCGTCGAGTGTCGGCTTCAAAGCCAATCTTCTCGTGACTTAGAAGTATTGAATCGCGTGAACCGTAACTTGATTTTCGTTTAGACATGGAATGGGATATTAGCGATGGAATGGTAGCGCCGGACAGTTCACTGAAATTACTGACACAATCTTCGCTGTTGTTATCAATATTCTTATCTTTAATGCGAAACAAACCAAAGAGACTCGATATTCGTCTCGATTTGTCACTTCGTTTGGAACTGATTGATACGGAAGAAGGACACGGACTCTCACAGGTCCTGACGAGCACAGCATCGACTACATTATCACAACCATTCGTACCATTTATTTCATTACTTTCAGTTGTATTATCATTCAAATCAGTAAAACACGTCTTGTTATCCAAGTCTTCGACATCTAGTGTCTCAGAAGAGATGACATCCGTTTCTGGAACTGTAATCAGTGGTCGAATTCCATCCAAATTTCGATTCCATTTGACTCTCATTTTGTATGCAATGAATGAAGGGTTGGAAGCAATAGAAGTCAAATGCAAATGATGTTCATATAAAATGCTTTGACAGACGGTTTTGTGGTTTTTATTTGTTTAATATTCACTGCATTTCTATCTCATCAACAAATTCCCAAGGATTTTATTATTGACGACAAAAACAGTATATTTACTCTTATAAAAAACTATTAACTTTTTTACATTAGTCGATAAAAATAAAATAACACACAATTAATGACAAAATTATGGTTATATAATTGTGAAGTTGAAGAAAAACAAAACTAAACAATATAGTTATAGTAATACATATATTTTGCAACTCATAAAATGCAAACACAGGTAAAGTCTATGTGACGAAGCAGTTCTCAAACCATTTAATAAAAGCACTTATAATGGCTGTTAATTGAATTTCATTTAAGTTTAATGTCGCAAAAATCAGTCAAAAGTCTATATTAATAATAATATATTAATAAATCAGAAGAATGTAAGGCAACAGAAAAAATAACTATAAGTTTATAAAAAACATATTTGATATACAATTTTATTAATACATATGATATTCATATAAGAATTTGACACAATTTACTGGTGAATATCAAATCGATAAATGAGGAAAAATTACAGCAATTAAAAAACTTATGATTGAATGCAATGCGAAAGTAACACAACCAACGAATTTGCGTCATTCAGACTCAAACAGCACTCAATTAAATATTAAATATGATATTCAATATGCAGTGAATTTTGTGCGACGAGTGCTTCTCAAACATTAAAAACATGATTATTTAGGAGAGTTTAGAGTTGCGGTGAGAATGCATTCATTCATTCAATTGCAGTCCCATTTACGGTAAGTGTTAGACAATATTTAAACATGTGTTGGAGTTGTTAGATGTACTCAATTCCCAAACACACCACACATTTTACGATTAACTCATTTGCAAAATAAGCAGTGAATTAAAAATGTAGTTCATATACGAGAACACAGTATTGTACACAACAGATACACTTTTAGACCCATCAAACACTTCTGTTGTTTAACACTTTTTGACACTTTTTGACACCTTTTATCTAATGATTGATTCACTTCAACAACAAAAACAAACGAGTCTTTTATATGCAATACTTTTTTCAATGACCGCGTATTCAATGTTAGCGCAAATCTCGAGTCAAATCTCTTGTTTGCAATCTTAAGGAGAGTCGGCATTAAAGACGATTGGGTTATAGTTTGCGTTGGAATCATGTGCTGGAGTGGCATAAGAAGTAGATATACTGTCTGTCTGTGCAGTACTTTCTACCAAATGAGTCAAACGCACGAATATCTTAGCCATGAAATCGACGCGAAGAGCATTTCACGCTTGCATTACATGATTGGGAGTCAAAGAGTTGCATAAAAAATAGAGTTGTTAGATGTACTCAATTCCCAAACACACCACACATTTTACGATTAACTCATTTGCAAAATAAGCAGTGAATTAAAAATGTAGTTCATATACGAGAACACAGTATTGTACACAACAGATACACATTTAGACCCATCAAACACTTCTGTTGTTTAACACTTTTTGACACCTTTTATCTAATGATTGATTCACTTCAACAACAAAAACAAACGAGTCTTTTATATGCAATACTTTTTTCAATGACCGCGTATTCAATGTTAGCGCAAATCTCTTGTTTGCAATCTTAAGGAGAGTCGGCATTAAAGACGATTGGGTTATAGTTTGCGTTGGAATCATGTGCTGGAGTGGCATAAGAAGTAGATATACTGTCTGTCTGTCTGTGCAGTACTTTCTACCAAATGAGTCAAACGCACGAATATCTTAGCCATGAAATCGACGCGAAGAGCATTTCACGCTTGCATTACATGATTGGGAGTCAAAGAGTTGCATAAAAAATACACACATTTAGAAACAATTCATAAATGGGAGGAACTGTTCATAAATTGGTTGACTTTTAGTTCGCTTCGGTGTCTATGACTGTGAGCGAGACAAATGAGACACTGATTGGCGCACATTATGTATGATCTGGTGGTGTGTTGTGTATGAAAAGGTAGGCAGCAGTGAGTGGTTGTGGAGCACAGGTATTGCAGAAGCGGATTGTGTGTAAAAATAAACCGTTCTCTGAATGGAGAGCTACTCTGAGTTACACCGACCGAAGACTTCCTGATTTATAAGTCTTACACCATTTAACTGTTCATAACTTCTTGTAAGACCGTATGTGAGGCGCAAATGCGAGTCACCAGAGAGTGAGTTACTGAGAGAGAGGTATACTGTATTGAGAGCTCAACCAAAATAAAAACACAATAAATATTCCGATGGGTATTAGAACCAACAAAATGGTAAAAACATAATAAACACTCAAAAATAGTGTTGGATTTTAAAATACGATCCTTTCGTCTCACTCGAGGCTATTTGCGTTCAAAATACCGTTTTACACACATATCTAATACACCATATATTATATACAGAATGTATAATACTATCAATTGAGTGACGGTTTCGCCAAAACCAGTCTTTAAAAAGTTAAGCTAAAGATTAAAGAGATTTTGTATTTTATTTGAAAACTCGATCTGACACACAATATCCAGTGCTCTACCACTCGATACAAATACACAACTGATATGAATGCACTGCAACTGACAATATAGCAAATAAAACTGTATTTAATAAATCAGTGGTAAACAACTCATGTCAGAATTGTTACACAATAATAACTACTTTTAACTTCTCTTAATAATAGTTGTAAATTGTCTTCAAAATGAGTTAAAATTAATTTAATTGAAGTCCAAAAACGAGAACTAAGAAAAAGTTGGCTCTCATTGTGCGAAGAGAAAAGACTCACAACAAGACTCGCTCTAATGCATGAATGCATTCAAACATATCTTTCATATTATTTTTGCAAATATAAAAAAAATTTTGTTTTATTTTTTTCCGTAAAACTGAGAGAAAAAGACAGCTCAATGTCTGCTCTGTCTATGCATTTGAGTGACAAATGGCTATAATATTAATAGTGGTGCCGATGAGGAAGAATAGGACAGGTATTTCACTATTCTATTATCAAATATGTAACTCTTATTAAACTTTTTTATGACAATCAGATACCAATTGTAACTCTACTTTCAATTGTCAGCGTTTATGTCTATGGGATTCACGGATCGCTGCATTCGCAGTGCATTTCGACCGCAAATTTAATTATATTTTTATATAAATATTATTTCGTCAAACGACTGGTAAATCGATTTGATTTAATTCAATACCAAATCACATGATAATCATTGTATAATACAATCCATAGTGTGTGACAAGACTATTGGCCAAAAAATTAATGAAACAGTATTATTATTATGAAAACAATTGTGTTTTTTAAACNCTTATGATTTCTAATATTTATTTATATATTTATAAAAATAGATAATAAAAGTATGAATAGAAGAATGGATTCATTTGATGGAAACAATTGCGAGACAAATGTTGGCACGAATTGCATTAAAACGACGTCTTCTTTATGCAAATCTCAAAGTCTTAATGAAATCCAATACGAAAACAGCGAATATCTATCGAAAGTGAATGTATTGTCCAATGGATGCGATTCTCAAAAGGCGTTTAGTTTTGAACAATTGGACGAAGAATTCGCGAATTCGAGGACTCGTTCATCGAATTTAACCAAAGATAAGCTTAACTCTGATCTCAATCTGATGGAGATGTCTGTGGACGAGAGCAGTACCGCATCGTTAGGCCTTTTGCCCAATATATTGTCGTCGTTATCGCCTTTCGATGCCTTTAATCAAAACATTCCGTTTGTTTCAATTGAATCCGATTTTATGCTCCAAAACGATATGAAAGTGAATAATAACGACACTATTAGTGGCGCCACTGAAGGGCTGCTGCTGAGGCTTTTGCCATAAGGGCAGTAAGTTCTCCTTCTCAGCCTGTGGTGATAATGTTTGCGCACGCTTCTTAGAGTGTGAAGGGAGCTCTGGTAAGTAGTCTGCTTGCCGAGTTTGTTAAGTTCCGATAATACAATGGAAGGCATCTGTTGTGATGGTCGCCAAGAAGTGGTTCCAGAGCTCGAAACTCTTCATTTGGATAATAGTTTGACTTTAAAGTCAAACACTGATAACGAGAGTATGAGTATTGAAAGTATTGGCGATAACTTGAGTGAGACTCACATTCCAGATACCAATGATTTATTGTTATTAAAAAACAATGATTTAAACAAAAGCTCTACAAAAGGCCTGTCGTTATCGACTGATAACTCATCAAAAACTACTGTTAAGTCATTGAATGAAAACAAAACGAATGATATAATTGGGAATAAAGTGACATCAATGAAGTCGTGCGCTGTTCGGCCCAATTCACTGCAAACCAGAGATCCGAAGCCCACTCTTGTGTCGGAAAAGGTTCAGAGAGCGGCCTCGCCCTCAGCCAAAGCCCCGGTGCGCAAGAAGTTTAAGACTCCCGGCCGTTGGGATGCGGTTATGACTAAAATAGAAAAGTCTAAGACCTCTAACGCTAACAATAATAATAATAATTCGGTTATCAAAGGAAAGATCAATTCAAACATTAATCGAAATGCTGTTACAAACGGGTCTTTACCTAAAATTAGTCCATCAGATGAGTTATCAATTGCTGACGATAACAATTCTAGTCATTTAAGCCCTTCGTCTGCATCTGTGAAATTATCCCTCACTTCATCCACAGCTAAGAAAACAGTTGTCAATCCAAACGCATCTAAAGGTATGGCTTTTAATATGCAATTGAAATGATTTTGTTTTATAATTTATGTCAATTTGTTAGCAATTGTTTCGACAGAACATGTGATGGAATTAATGAAACAATAATTTGTTTTGTGTTTTGCAGTGAATATCCCAAAGAGTAAGACCTTTGTACGTGATTCCAGTGATTCCAATGGCAATCACAGCACCGGAAGTAAGAGTCAACAACCAGTGTCCCAACACAAGTCCTCAATCGCTGGCACACCTGTGACTCCACAACAACAGCCCATTCCCGAGAAGACAATCAGAAGAGACAGAGGTTTGCAATTAATTAATTTTTTTATTTGCTTTTATTATCATTTAAATGCTTATCTCTGGTTATCATTGATAGCGCTATTTAAAGCAAATTGATTTGCATTTTATGGTCATATCCTAACCTTCCCTTCCATTTAACTTATCATTACTTACGAAATAAATTTCTCGAATGAGTGCTGACTTTCACATAAACTTACTATTTATGTGATATAACTGTTATATATTTACACCACTTCTAGCTTTAGGTTATATTAACACTAAAACAAAAATAATAAATGTTTAGAGGCTTTCCCTGAAGGAAACGATTAACTCATTTAACTCTTAAAATAATACCCATTAAGTCTAACCACTTCTAATGACCCCAACTATTCTTACTATTATTAATGCCATCAAAACTATATTTATTTATACGATATAAATAAATCCCATTTAAACACAAAACTTAATCTACATTTCAATTACAACTCACTTGTCGTTTGATTACATAAAGCGTTTGTTTTAATTTTTTGGTTTAATTGAATGCAATCTTTTTATTTATAAATTTGACATCAATTTAAGGAATTTATAATTTTCGCCAACACTTAAATAGTTAAATAAAATTAGTTATTATGAGTTTATTATATGATTTAATGATTGTTATGCCAGAGATAGAGAAAGGGAAAGAGAGGGAGAGGACAACAACTTTGACTTTTATAACATTGTTTGCAATGCATCGATGCCTGCCTTGTGCTCAATAAATGTGTTTAAATTCATTCAAAATACGGTATTTTTTGAAATATTTTGCAAATATTTTATGCATATCTCTGGAAAAGCGCATTAAAATTGTTATTCATTTAGTGTGTATTGTGTTGTGTTGTGAACCCGATCCGTGTCCTTGTATTTGAATTTTTCCAATTAATTATATTTCTGTTTAAAAAAATTGTTGTCAAAAATGATAATAACAGCGCATTTGAATTGAATTGAGAAATAATGCCATGTATTTAATATTTATGATAGAAAACACTTACACCTACACTATTACCTCAAATACAGTACATCTAAAATAGTATTCATGTTGTGGTCTTTCAGACATCATTATTATTATTTGCAAATTACTGTTCAGACTATTAAGAGAATTATATAAAGAGAAAGAGAGAAAGAATAGCATTTACACAAAGAAATGTATATTTTCTAACTTTGGGTCAAATCTTCACAATCTCTTACGAGTCGAGTTATCAAAGCGTAAAAATTTTTCTTAATAACAGACTACTCTAGAATACCATTTATATCATTCTTAATTACGATAATAAAGTCAAGACGTGCAAACCCGGGTATGGTCCGGGATGTGGACAAGAGGGCCACGATACGGAAGTGATAATCACATTTATTGGTATTGGTTTGTACTCTAAAGTGTTAAAAAACAGGATCTCTTTTTTGTAATGTTTACCACAATTGGTCTGATTTGTGTTTAAAAAACACAATTGTTTTCATAATAATAATACTGTTTCATTAATTTTTTGGCCAATAGTCTTGTCACACACTATGGATTGTATTATACAATGATTATCATGTGATTTGGTATTGAATTAAATCAAATCGATTTACCAGTCGTTTGA